AAACTCCGCCCAGGCCCCTCCCACATACGCCATTGTATATTACTAGCCTTAATAATTATAATCTCAGAATCTTAATCCGTATATTTTTTCGTAATCGAGAAATATCGACTTCAACATAAAGGACTCAAAAAGTGACATTTGTGCCTTTTTGGACTACTTTAAATTCTAAATTTTGAGCCCCGAGAATCAATAAAATACATTTTTGGGTAACACATGTGTCTACTGCATAAAGACCAAGGTGGAGGTTCATAGGAATTTTCCGGAAGGATATCCGATTTTTAGGTTAGTTGAAAAATTTTGATTTTGGCCAAATTTCACTTGGCGAATTAGGGGAAGAAGGAATGTCTTGGTCATTTTGTAGAACCTGCTCCGCTCTATGGATTGGTTCTCTAAATCTGCTAAAAAACAGAAACACTTTTTTTGTTTGAAAAAGGAGATTTATTTTTGGGAAAACCTGATATAGGGTGGAGAAGAGTAAATTTAGGCTGCTTCACATTTTGTCAATCGCAGTGAAGAATTTACCATAGAAGGACTGGAGGGATTCACGCAGATGCAGTACTTTTTCATGAACTATGCCTTTGTAAGTTGTTTTCGCTTTTATAGAGAGGATGGCTTTTCTCAAGCAATGCTTAAGATCTGGTGTGGAAGCACTCGACGTGCCACATTGCTGAACAAACTCGCCACAGACGTACATCCGCCAGATATGTATAGAGTGAATGTTGTGTTGTCTAATCAACCAGAATTTGCCAAAGCGTTCAATTGCCCGAAAAGGTCACCGATGCATCCCGAAAAGACTTGCACGGTCTGGTGATCTACTCTGGAGCAGGAACTCTACAGATACGATGAGCAGAAAAAAATGGACTGTTTCGGTCTTTCTCTCGTCTCGGGGCAACGCATTTTCCATTTCGAACTAATTCGCATACAGCCCGTAGAGGCTTCGCCACATATAAGGACAAGTACCCTTTGATTCAATGAAATAAGCGGCTGGAAGGGCGACCGCTTGCACCCGCACCGCA